TATAGTTATACAAATTTATTTGTTTTTTACACATACGTATCTGATATAAATACTTAGTAACGAATCCAAACAAATAATCAAAAAGCATATTATGCATAATTTGTAAGCTCAGACGTTGGAAAAGCGCAATTTAATTTGGGCGGTCTATCAGATTCATTGCGACTCCTCTCCTCAAGCTCCATAACCCCCTTGGCCTTGATCTTGAACGTTATCATCATTTGCACAACTTGTTTCACATCTACTTTTGATGCTTCAGCTATCTCCATCATCCGTTCCTCGCTCATTTGCGTTACGTTTGGGTTATCAAGCTCTGCCAAATTGACCAAGAATATTATTCAATCGAGTAAAAAAACAAGTTTTGATCCATAAACCATAACCATGTCATAATTATTAGTATTACCTTCATCTGTCATGGACTCCATTATTGTCGTGCACCGCCTATACTTCTCTGGTTTAGCTTCGAACACCTAGAAGGACCAAGGTGGGAAAGCAACTACAGAGAATTTGGAAGAAACTTACGAGTTACAATGTCTTGTATTCCCTATAATAACTAAACAAGAGTTTATTGAGAGATGAAACTATACATTTTTCTCCAATCCTAATTCTCGCCTATAACAATGATACATTAGTCTCAAAGTATATTCATAGGGCTTATCCCATGGATTTTCTGCACAAAAGTGGACCAATCATGAGTGTCCATACTCATCAATGAGAAACCAAAGCAGAGAAGGATAAGACATGAAGGAATTTGCTTACTCAAGAGACTCCTGACAAAAGCTTCAGCTTCAAATGCTTCAAAATCCTCTCTCTTCTCTCCCGTTTCAGCTAATATCATGGGACACTTTGCTGCTGCAACACTTGACAACATGAAGAAGAAAAAAAACATCATTTGCATGAATAGACCAGGCACTTGAAGAAGAGATCACAAGATGATGTTATAGAAAATGAAAAGAAGAAAACTTGTAATAATGCTTACGCGCTGATAGCACCACAGGCTTTAGCGTTGCCGTGTATATTAGTAATAATGGCAACTCCACGAGGGAAACATTGCTTGAATGCTTGAGCTTGATCAAATGCAGCTTGACCAATACTGCTATCCATGACATATACAACACGAGCTGGATTCTGTAAGAAAGACCAAAAAAAAAGCCTACGTTAGCTGGTTACCATGATCAACAACAAGATAATAAAAAA